CCCTCTTCTTTCTCTCTTTCTCTTTCCCTTCACTACATGAAGACAGTGACTAATGTATTGACTATGTCAAATCTAAAAATGTCAACAAATACCCATTTGTATGCGGAACAACAGTCTGTTCCCAAAGTAGAAAATAACAAAGCATTAAAAAAAAAACTGTAGGTAACATCTTGATATCTATTTTGGTTGTATTTGATTGCAAGAAATTGCTCGTGCTTTGTAATTTTCTAATTAGTTTCCTTTGCGCTAGCAAAACACAAACTTAGAGGTTTATTAATTTAATAAGATCTCTTTTTGGGTCTTGTTATTAACTCAAACAAGCACTTGAGCTTTATTAGAAGCTTTAATATTGAACTAAAATTTAAACTATGTCATACATGTTGTAGAAAGTAAAATTTGGAGGGCAATACATGGAGATAGGCCCCTTTATTAGGATCTGGGAGAGTTATCAGCCCAGAATCATTTCATGTCCTATGACAGATGAAACAAAGCCAGGAGTGTGTCACAGCACAGAAGCAACTTGGCTAAATGTTGTGCACATTGGTTTTTTTTTAACTTACCACCATGTATTCCATCAAGTACTGAATTGCATATATTCTTTGCATGTAAGCTGTTCTGATTCATACACTTAAAAAAAAAGAAACAACTTAAAATTAAAGACATATCACTCCACCAATCATCAGGAAAGGAAAAGCCTTTCCCAAGAACCCCAGAAGCCTGAGGGCTAAGCAGATTGATTCTGTAAAATGTCCTTAATATCAACAGCAAAAGCTTATTTTTCTTCATTTCCTTCAACAGGAGACTAGGCAGTATTTTCCCCCAAAAAATTGTAGGTCTGTTAACTTGATGCACAGTATGACTTATGACAACATATTTGAAAGGAAAACTATGTGCTGATAATTTTGGAGGGACTACAACAGAAGTACAGCAAACCTTAACCACCTTTTTCTTCCAGGCCTCCTTCCACAGCAACATCTATAGCAATTGCTGGAGAATCAGAGTCTTTGCATGAAGACAGGAAAGGTGGAGAAAACTTACAAGTAGCACATCTGGGTATAACAGGTATAGAATTATGCTCTTAATTTTTCAATGCTTTTATAACTGGCCTCATAGTTTCAAGAGGTTCAAAATGCTTCAATTCTGAAAGGGATGCTGACAGTTGGCCTGCAAAGGAACCTTCTTACACGGCTAGTAAGTTTCTGTTTCAAACACAGCTGAAGTTTTTAAGTAGGTTAGCTTTTCAGACAGAAAACATCTGGCACAATGTTCTACTATGATACTGGAGAAAGAATGGTCATCTCTTTATTGACACTAGAAAAATCTATATCTACATTTCATACAAATACATCTAACCCAATGGTACTCTATGTTTTGCTCAGCTACATATTATGATTTTTATTTTTTCAAGACTGTATATTCAATAACATGCCTGGTATTTTTGCAGCACTTGAGTCTCCAAAAGGTTTGTAGAAAATAAGTGTCAAGTCTCTAATCCCTCTGGGAAATGTGTCTTTTGAATCTAATCAAGATTACAGGCAAAGTGGCAATAAAGCTGGCCTTAGGAACACTGTCTGACTTGCATATGTTGCAGACGTCTCATCGAAGAGTGCCTCAGTCCCAGATGAACTTGGTGCATGTGGACATTCCAGAACATCAAGCTATGCAAGTCAGCAATCAAAACTGTCAGGTAGCTGTTCACAAGTTTGTTATGAGTTGTTGGGGATTATTTCTCTTTCACAGGCTTAGACGGTGGAAAAAAGTTTACTCTATATTTTAAAACGGGTTTGGGTTGAAAGCTTTTTCCTAGGAATTTCAGGTGTGGCAAGGGTAACATTTTTTCCCTCTTAAAATTTTCTGGATTCACTGGATTAGCCCTTTGGTTGCAAGACAGCTTTTTGCCTTTGTTCTTTCCAAGTAACATATCTGAATGAGATTTTTACCTCTTCCATGAGTAAAAAATGGAGACTTAGCTCTAAAAGGGGGATGATATTTGTCATTCTAATTGTTCTGATATAATCGGGAGCTACTTGGAACAAAAAGAAAATGGCAGGTGCTAGAATACAAAACCTGAAGTCAGTTGTCTAGCTGATACTCATAGGTCTTTTAAAAGTCCTTTTATAAGATGACAAAACACAAATTCTGTCAAGAACATACCTAACCCATCTCTATTGGATTTTCCCAACAGGATATAGCACATGTCACTCTAGATCATCCAGTCTGTCTGAACTCTGCCACAGGAGAAACACCTCAGTGGGGAGTACCTCAGTGGGAAGTACCTCAACAGGAACTGGAAGTATTCTAGAGCCATGTGAAGAGTCAGAGACAAAAGTAACTGAAACTGATATTGACACATCTGTTGAAGATGCACCACCAGAAAAACAATGCAGGTACACTTTATCTGAATGCCTTATCCAGCACAAATAAATTACTTTATCATGTGTAAGAGCTCTAAATATATTTATTTTTGCAGACATCCTGTAAAGCAGGACTCTGTGGAGTCACAGCTGAAGAGGGTTGATGCTACCAGAGTTGATGCTGATGATATAGTTGAAAAAATACTCCAGAGTCAAGACTTCAGTTTAGACTCAAGTGCAGAAGGTATGGAGATAAGTAAGGAAGCTTAGGGAAAACTGATGTACATTATAGGCCTTAGGAAAAACCACTCTCTTCACAGTCCCTGTTGTTTGTAGTTGTAAGGACTGTGCAACATTTTCTACTTCATCTTATCTACCAGAAATTGAAAATATCCTTACATGACTCAGGGAGCTTTCCCAGATGATTACTTTAAGCCTAAAAGAGCAGGTGCAAATCTATGACAAAGGTACTTCTTCCAACCTACACCATGTAGGAGTTGGTTCTTCATTACCTAAAGTATTTGCATCTGAAAGTATCAGCTACAAAACGGGTAGATTTAAAATTACTTAGATTTAGTTAGGGCAACATTAACGAAAGCTAACATATTTTAATTCGTTTGCCTTTTAGAAGAAGGTTTAAGATTATTTGTGGGCCCTGGTGGAAGCACTTCTTTTGGAAGCCACCATCTACCTAACAGGTATGTAGCCTGAACTAATCCATAGGCAATACTAAATAAAAATGCACTTATACAGCAATTATCCTGTATCTACATTCTTGACCTTTGTATCTTTCTATTTTGTATCATTTAAAAGCACTAAAAGAGCTAGATTGTCAGTTTTTAAAATAGGACATATAGATTAGTTCCAAAACAGAACTGATGTGTCAGTCATAATTGTAACTTTCAGAGTTTCTGAAGAGTCTCAGTTCCAGGGTTTTCAGATACAAGCAATGTTTCAGTATGGACACAGGAAACAGACACCAGTTTCAAATGGGAGTCTACAGCCTTATTATGTTACTCTGGAGTGGGAAGAAAATTTTAAGTGTTTTACACATCTGCCTTTACAGTATCAAACTGTTACATCTTCCTGATAACAAGCCTTATTTTCTTCAGTTTAGTTCTTCTCACAAATCCTGTTTCCATTTGCTACATTATTTGTTTCAATGGTTTGTTCATCTTTCAAGTATTTGCAGCCCTAAAGTGTTTCTTTTGATAATCTTCTTCAGACTATCTTGTCACTTAGAATCAGAGACCTTTTTTTCTTCTCTAAACCTGCTTCAAATACCCTGATACATGACTTGACCTGAATGTGTTATTCTTCAGATGAGAAGGCATGAAAACTAGGCAAGAATAATACTCTAATGCTCTAATGTGTTTCTGCAGTCCAATGTAACTCAATGTTTTTAGCTGAAGAAAACAGAACAGTCTCGTTGCAGTACTTCAGCATTTAGTATGAACTTGGGTATAAAGGCAGTTGATAATATATTGAAAGTCATAAGATAACTGTATTTTATATGTGTAAGTAATACTATGGTTAAAAGATAATTCCTTGACTCATCTGCAAACTGGGCACACCAGTATCTGTCTAGGATCACATGAATGGGTACAGAACACACTCCTGTAGCACACAGAGATCTGTTCTAATGCAGCTGCTAAAATAGTGCAGGCACAAGACTTGCACAGAGTCAGAGCTTGCTGTATTAATTTTTTACATAGTACTGCAATTTGCTGTGGAAAACCACCCACTATGGGCAGTCATGTGGGAGGTGAGAGACTTTTGTTTACAATTCAGAGTGAACAAAAGAGTGAAGATGTTCTTCTTGTACCTTAATGTAAGATGACAATCAGTTTCTGGGTTTTTTAGGCAGATTGATCTATTTATGTATAAATGTATATAAAGAATATTAGCTGCATATAATACAGCTATGGGGATGGGTACCCTAAACATGACATTTAAGAAATTCTAGTGAAGTCCACCAGTAACTTCTTGTTCAGTAACATTACTTTTTGTTAATTTTGACTGTAGTACAACAACATCTCTTTAATGCATTAAAGTGTAGGTGACTCCTTGGATCGATGAATGTTTCCTATCCTTCACATTTAGCTAGTTTGGTATTTGCTGTTTGGTTGGAGAGGTTTTGTTGGGGTTTTTTTGGGAGGGCTGTTGGTTGGGTTGTTTAAACAATACACCTGCTGATATGTGATACTTGCTACTTAGCTTTCATTTAAATTGACATTGAACTAACTTTTTTCAAACTTTCAGAGTAGGATCTGGAGCATATGAGCAGGTGGTAATAAAACGCTAAACTGGAATGTCAAATGAGGAAAACTTGGAGCTCTGATGTTGATACTTCTGGTACTGTTTGCTGCAAGAGCTGAGAAAGACAAAATGAACTCAATGCAATCTTTTTCTGAAAAGTAGAGGAATGCCTCTTGCTCATAGAGCATCATCTGTGGTATGAAGGCAATGTTTAGCTGTGTACCTTGTGAGAGCACTTAGACCATTTTTGTAAGCTCTGTCTGATGTTAGTGGAATTACTTAATTTCTGTGAAACATCTGTGGAAGCATGTCCCATTTCAATATTTTATATGTGAGATCACTTGTGATGATGGACTTTGTTTGTAATGTTGTTTCTAAAGAAACTTCTGAAAGTTGGTCTTAAAAGAACCAGAAAAAAGTAATTACCGAATTTTATCCTACATGCCATTTTATTTTTACAACAGCTAATTACTCCTCTCAGTTCAGTTTTTATCAGGTCAAAGTTATGGCTTCCAGAAAAACAGGCCACCTACAGCATAACTAAAAGCTTAAGAGTACTGAGTAGAACTTCATTGTAAGGTTCAACAGAAGAAGTGAACACCATGTACATTTGAAACAAACCCCCAAAACTAAATAGATCTAAACCAGACACTAATCAGTTATGTTAACTGTAAATTAAGGATACTGGTTTAAATATATCATATGTGACTTTTTTTTTATTCAAGTGATGAAACAAGTGGGATTCCACACCAAAACACTAAGGCACAGTAGTGTTTTATCAAGAAAGCTGCCTTGATTGTTAAATCTGGAGTTCAGCAGCTGCTCCCACAGAAACTCACTAAGATAATGCATGAACATTGAGATTCAATGGGATGGTACTGTTTACAAACCAAGTCAGTAGTTTACCACTTAATTTTTTAAATTGTAGTTTAATCTTTCACAGTCAGTGCTTTGCTTCTGTTTTGAATGTGCCTTGCGGGATTGGGGGTGTACAGGGAGATTAAACCATTTACTAAGGAATTTAAGCTTTAAAACTAGGTAAACATCTATACTATTATTAATATAACTTGTTGAGAGAAGCACTTTATTGTAGACATACTCTGCACACTGAAAAAGTCTTAGTGCGCAACAGCTCTGTTGAACACTTCTTTTGCTGTCTGTCCACTGTTACATTAGGTCAATGTACTGTATTTAAATTTGCACAAGTAGTGATTTGCCTGACAGGCAAGAAAGAGCTCTTTAAATTTTCATTGAAAATATGAAAGAATCCATTTTTAAAGGGATGCGTTGGGTAACAAATAATGGTAATTGTAAACCACAAATTACTTAAATGCTTTACATTTAGTGGTACTGTTTATCAGTAATGGCCTGGAATAAATAAAAATAGTGCAGCCACTTCTGAAAGCTCAGATTTTTCTTTTTTTTTGAAAGCTTCAAATTTTGCTCAGAGTGATGTTTAACACCTTATGGATGTAAAAGTAGGCCATATTTAATAGGTTAAATTAGGAAAAGCAGACTTTGTTTTCCAGAAATCCATAGTAGAGTTATGAAATTTTTATTTGTATTTTTAAGGAAATTTCAGCTCTCAAAGCTAGAATGCTTCTATTGAATATGATGAATATGAGCTATTTCTCAGTTTAGGTATTTACATACTTTTATTTCTACTGTTGATTATAATTTCTTTAGAGTGTCTAATTAGGTAAAAGAATTAATACTAAGATTCTATTTTTAGCTGCTCTTACTAGAAGTGTGGTATTATCAGTTTCTGTTCTCCACAGGAATTTTACACACAAACTACTCAACTGCTAACAACTAGTAACAACTCTCTATCGGAACATTATAGTCTTCTTTCCTGTTATATAACGAATTCATACCAAAAAATCCCACTGCAAGCAAAAGATATCAGAAATCTAAATACATTCTTTGCTTTCAGTACTCCTTGATACTGCTATACTTGTTGACAAATCTATTATAACTAGTAGTAGTTAAATGGTAGTTTACTTACATCTACTAGGAAAACAACAAACTACAAAACAGACTTCTAAAAAACACTGTACAGCTACTTATGTAATTCTCAAGGGAATTTCCATAGCCCATTGCATTTTATGTTAACCAGCATAGCTAATGGTCATCTATTAGATAATTTGTTTACTAGAAACAGTATTTTCTTGCCTGAGCAGATCTTTTAAATAATAGGGAAGTTGACATAGAAATACAGCTTTTCATAAAACTGTATCTTAGTAATTTATTCTTCGGACTTGACTTACAACTCTTTGTGAAGTGATAATCTAATTGTGCATCATGTAAGTGAAAAATAACCTTCACATTCAGGTGCTGTATTTTCATTTTTGTAAACTATGTTATATGAATACTGGAGACTTCCATGTTGTAAACTGTTTGGGATGTATTGGTGGATTATGTTTTTTTAACTGTATTTAAATACAAATCTCTCAGACATTCAATAAACTCATGTCTTCAGCTTGGAATCCATTCCTAAACAATTGTCTCTTTTTTTAATGCAAAAAATTACAAACTTAACTGGAAGTTAGAATCCATTTTCAGTTTCTCTTCCAGTTAAGGACTTCTTTTTTTAAATGCTTTGCTTTTTTCTGCTTGTGTTTATTACAAACTGATATCTATATTATTGGGAAAACGTGTCATTTAGATCCTATTCTTTTTCTAATCTAGAAGGAGAATTTTTAATTCACAACACTGATCAGAAATGTTCTCTTCAACTATTCTGACCATAACCAAACAATAGATATCCACATTATTTCCCTTACATTCAGGATCCTGCACTCCTTTTTTGATGTTGGAGGGTTTTTTAAGTTGTGTTGTGGAGTTTTGTTCTTATTAATTTTTTTCCATGTATTCTCTTTGGATTTTACAGTTTTGAACAGCAGCTGCACATGAAAACAACAGAAATTTTTTCAGAGCCAGGTTAGCATTCACAATTACTGCAGTTCTTTAATTTTTTGAATTTTTTTTTCAAAAACAGAACAAAGATGATAGTTTCATATTTCAATTCAGCTGAACAACATTTGGTTTTCATCAAGGCTGAGTATGTACTCATCTTGAAAAAGGCATCTATAATTTTTGTCAAAATTAAGAAAAAACTTGCCCTAAACTTAGGTCTGACTTACATTATTCAGCACAACACAGTAGATGGCAAAACAAACTATCCTTGAAGCTAACAAGAGCCTACTAGAAATAATCTAGTAATGATAGCTACAATAAAGCAATAGAAAGCTAACAGAAATACTTAATTTTCTTAGGAATTTTTTCCTTTTAGCTCCTGATACTCTACTTGAAACCCCTAGGAGTTACTGCTGCCTTTGTCAGAAGCACTCACCTTCACTCAATGAGAGATGCTGACAAATAAAGACCACCAATGGAAGGTTAGAAAATATTTTGTAGTCTACTTAGCATACAGAACATTGCATCTGACAGCTTTTAAAAAAAACACTTTCATTACTTCAACTGAACTTTGTGTAAGATCTAATTCTCTTCATGCTCAATACTGAACATCACAGCAGAGCCATCACTACTCAGTGTGACCTTGCCAGCAATAAGCTTGCATAACTTCTCAAAGGTACCACAAAGGCGATTCACTTTGGGAAAAGAAAAGATTGTTGCAAGAGGTATGTAAACCTCATTTCCACTGATAAATGGTTCCATGTGTTTTTCAACGACCAGTTTTCCAAGATAGTCTGAAAAACAGTCCATTGAAGGTTGGAATTTGGATTCTCTCTCAGGATCATCACTGTACTCCTCACGTATTGACATTAAACGGTGCTTAATGATTTGGGCTGTGAAAATAACTTCACTGATCACTGCATTCTGCAAGTACTTTTCATCTTTAAGACTTGGGTACACTGCTTTGAAGACCTTTACAATATACAAGAATACATGAAATGTTTTATCACTAAAACAAGCTCAGATTTTAACATTTGCTGTCCAAAAAAGCTTTTAAAATGTGAATATTATTTTTTATTCAATCCTGTTTTGCTTATTAAACAGTTTCAGGTAACAAAAACAAAGCAATAGGAGCTGGTTTTCTGTATTACAACTATGCTGGTAGTTAACTGAACTTAAACATCCCAAAACCCAGCAGGCTATACCTCCAAGCTACAGTTGTAGATCAGGCAAGGTATAGCCCTGCAATTCTTTACCTCTTTTAATAATTCTCTTACTTCTCACATTACGGGGTTCTGGGGACAGTTCCAGAGTGATGGAGATTCTAAACTACTTCTGAACTGGCATATGGAAACCAAGACTACAGCATGAAACTTACTGTATTCAGAGTAAAACATTAAATATTCTCTCACAGCTGTAGGGAATGCTAAAAATAAATTGTGACATCAAAATCTGTGAACTTGTAGTGTGTTCTACACTGAGCTATACTCCGAGACAATTAAGGAAACTAAGCAGGCAATCTCATTCCCACCAGGTTACTAGGAAGTGCTTTATACCAACAGACTACCAATGAAGTCCTGCTGTTTATAGTTATTTCTTACTTTCCAACTACATCTTCAAATGTTGAATTAGTCCTATAAATTAGTAATCTAATAAAAAAAAATTTTGATAAGAAACATACAACATTAATATTAATCTCAAAGGATACCTATGTCAAAACTCTCTCCAAAATGACCATGCAATGGGAGCTAATTAAAGCAATTTCTAGTACATCTCCATCACCTAGATGTATTTCCAAGTTTGGTGAGCACTAAAGAGACATGCATGATTCTATTAATGGTAGTAGATGACAGGTGACATTTCACATGCACAGAAATTTCAAATACAGAAATTAAAAATGTTTTTATAGCTTGGAAACCATAAAAGATGAACCCATAACACCACTTTATCTTTCCATTTAGGTCACAAGTCATTTGAAGATACTTAGATATTTTTACACAAATAAATGAAATATTAGATTATGTTCACTGAAACAAATAATTTAAGGCCTTATAAAATTGAATAAAACCCCAACAGTGTATTTATCTTTGCATTGCTACTTCATGTCAACTCTGAAAAAATTTTGATTTATACCATATGGCATTTAGTAAGAAATGCTTTTTTAAAAATTTTTGATGTATCTGAAAAATCTGAGCCATTGTCAACAACTACATAATAAATAAAATTAATGACTAGAGGAAAAATAGCTGGCAGAAAGGAGAAATTTCATTCCAAGGACAGAAGTATCTTAACATAAGAATGATTACCCATATTGTTATTTAGCAAATACCCTAAAAGTTTAAGGCTTTTGTACAGCTGGAAACACAAAGAATGAGGCTGTCTTGTTTTCTGATTACAATCAGAGCTAAGACAGGACAGTAGCAGTACTTCATGGTAACAACCTCACATGCAGTCACAGACAACTTCATCCTTTATTCATACCTCTAAAGGAAGAAAATACTTACTGTTTTGTAAACTGTTTCAGTGGGTTTCTCAGACTGAACCAATTCACCAGTTTGAGGATATTTTCTCAGAAACACACCTATTTGGGTACAAAACCCAACCTTCTCCATTCCTGTTGGTGGGTGCCCAACGCCAGTAAATTCCACTGAGTAACCATAGCATCGAGCAGCCTCTAGAGCCCTAAGACAAATTATTCCAGTTATATGAAATTATCTTTCCATGTCATAAAGATCCATTCTTAAAGAGAAGCAAGACTCTAAGGCTGCTAAGGCTTGAATGTAATTCCTCTAACAATATTCCCATGCCTGAAGATAAGCACTGTCACATCTTGTATGAGAGCTGTAAGATGCCTACCATAGTCTGAATCATTTAATATCATTTAGCCATCCAAACATCCAAAACATTACTGTTTCTTCTAAAATATGTGCATAGAATGCTAATGTTAATTCTCACAGTTGCTTATTCACCAACCTGGAAGTCAGGTAAAAAACCGATTTTCAAGAACAAAATTATTTGAAAAGAACCCATAAAAAATATACACACCTCTAAACCACAAGAGACCAGTTAATAGAGGAAGTGTGGTTAGAAAGACTAAAATCTACCTAATCAAGCTTACAAAAGTGTACATAACATCTAAATGAAAAGTATCTTGTAGTACCTCAGCCAGTGTGAACAAAGGCATGAGGCAGGGAACCAAAATTGTGCTACCTAGCCATATCATTCTCCATAAAAAAGAAAACTAAATTAACATCTCGTGTATTTTAGAGATGTAATATTTCTATTTCACAACATAAAGGTTTTCTCATGTTTAAAGCTCAAAAAACTTCCACACTTCTTCAGTGATATCAATATTTTTAATTCACATCTATCTAAAAGCAAAATCTAAATCTACTTGAAGTCATAGAAATTGTCTCTAAGGTATTCTAAGGTAGCTAATTACAGGCAGGTTTTAGTGTCATTTTTAAGGAAAAATACATGCTTCCAGCTTTGCAAAACTATCAACTCAAATATCACTGGACACTTTAAAGTGTATAGCAGAAACAACATAGTTTAAGGAGCAAAACTTCCAGAATACATACACCAAGAGTTAGCTACTGAGATATGGCATTTTTTACTGTACCATATATTTTATTCCACAACTGCTGGACAGTTGAATGTTATCACAGCATCTCACTTTCTCTTATTTTTATTACATTCCTGATATTAAGGGTAAGATAGATCTCTTGTAACCCTCTGTCATGTGCATATGATTTGCATTAAATCCTTCATTGATCCATTAAACTATCCTGTGCTCAACATGCCACACTGCTGTGGTTATTTGATACTCTTGCTGAGTGCTTTAATTACACACCATATACAGCAAGCCCATTTCTTGGATTTTATGAAGAATTTCTATAGCAGGGTATTATGCAAAAAGATTAATTTCAACTGTGTTAATTTTAATGAAGATATATAAAAAGTAGTAAAAGTTTTAAATATTTTTTTGCAGAGCAGTTACAGTAAAAGCCAATTAAACCACCATCATATAATACAAAATCCACAGAAGATGCTTAACTGCTCTCAACAGCAAAGAAACCACCAAACCAGGAGGTGACACTTCACTGACAACAAACCACACAAGTGAACCAGTCTGAAAATGCACAGACATTCATTTCTCACACTACTGGGCACTCAGAGCTGCATCATATGCATCCAGCATATGACGTTCTGTACCTTACCAGTTTCGAAACTGTGCTTGGCTCCACTCAAATTTGTGGTCTGGATGCCTGTATGACATCACTCTTGAAAGCAAAGGGTTAAATTCAGAATTTGGAGTGCTGATCACAACTATGCTTGGAGCCATGAAACCGAACACCACTTCAGGAAACTTCTTCAGCTCTGATTCATCCAGGTGTTCTATTCTGAAAAGAGTAAGTTGATGTCTGTGTTTAAAAAAACATCTCTATAATCTTAACAACGAGTGAAAATAACCCCAAACCCATATCTGTAACTTGTAATTTTACAGCTACTTCTGCTATATGAGTACTGGCAATGTGGCAGCACAGGGCTTTTGTCTGAGCAAATCTCCTCTTGCATTTTGTACTTTTTCATCAGTATCCTCTTCCCACCATAAGCACTACTCGAACTGCTTAGTATGGTTAATTTAAACATAAGTTTAGACATAAGACATCCATGCTTCTACTTTCTACTTTTCTAATTGTACTCTGCTTGAAAGGTTTGATCAAGCCTGTTTGGAGCATGCACAGAATTCCAAACTGAACTCTAATAGACTTAAAAAACCATATTGTATTGTCCTAATACTCACAGTTCAATACATGTCACCAAGTCAAAACCAAGCATACAAGGATCTTTATGGGCAACTGAACCATGATGCAAGGTAACAGTTAGGGATCTTTCAGATGGCTGCAAATAATCAACAGGAAGAGGAGACAAAGTATGCCTACAAAAGTATTGAAAATATGATGTTAGAGGAAGGACCTTAAGACAAGATAAATAGTACATGTAAATGGACTAGTTAACACCCTAGCTAGCATAGATACTCCATGAATCTCAAAAAGGTTAACTGCTTTACATGGATATAAAAAAGAATATGCAATACAAACACATTTTGTAACTACCTACAATAGGACAGAAAGAGCAGAAATTAATCCAGAAACTGTCCTTCGTGTTTACAAGAATTTCCATTATACTCTCAAGTCACTTGGAAAGCCACTTGTAAACTTTGATAATAGTTCAATTCCAGACACACGGTAAGTCTGGTTTAGACAAGCTTTGCAGGGTTTCAGGGTGGAGTTTTAGGCAAGCATATTACCTATTTTTTCCAAGTAAAATACACAGAGAAGCCAAAGTACATGTGCAAATTTCATTTTGAAATACAGCACTAGAGAAAACACACAATAGATGTTAAATATAAAAGGTTACTTCTCTTCCTTCTTGAGAAAGAGCAAGAGATCCTACATATTTACTGAAATTGTTTTAATCTGCTTTCAAGAAACCTATGTTCATCCATCGGACCAGTGCTTCAAAGATCACAAGAACCTCTCATTTTAAAAAGGTTCTAAACCAGACACCACACACTGAGCTAACCTTCCTATTTCAAAATGAGAAAAAAGAACAAGTCCCCACCACAGTGACTAATAATTCCATGTACATTTCAAAAAGATCAAAACTGGACCTTCTGAAGACAATAATGTCACATATAAGCATACACAGATATTCCTAACACCATGCATTAGTGCCCTTACAAACAGTGAATTTTTCACACGTGCACACTCTGAGGACCTCTCTGCAGCACTGCAGGAGAGGAGGTAGAGAATAGGCAATAAAGTGAAACCCATGAAGAAGTGAGGGGTAGAGGGAAAGTGTTTTTAAAATTTGCTTTACTTCTTATTATCCTACTCTGATTTTGATAATAAATTAAACCATTTTCCCCAAGTCAAATCTGGTTTGCCCATGATGGTAACTGATGAGTGATTTCTCCCTGCCCTTTAATTCATGAACATTTTGGTGTATTTTCTCTCTCTGTCCAGCCAAGGAAGGGGAGTGATAGAGCAGCTTTTGGTGAGCTCCTGGCCTCACCACTAGGTCAAGATAAACACAAACCTCAAAACAAAGAGCTTACATTTTCTCTTTCATCACATTTGCACAGATATCTAGCCCGGCTAACACTTCAATGCAACTGCAGAATTTCAGCATCCAGAGAAGGCTGCAATCAGCACATCCTAAATCTGCCACCTGTAAATTAGATATTAAAAAATGAATAAATGCTATATATTTCTTAGCAATTTCAGAGATTTGCATAAAATTAAAATTCCATACTTATCAAAATAACTTTTTAATGACAAAAGATTTCAGAATCATAACTAAAATTTATAGCTGCAAGCAAGCAGTATAGATGCAGGAAAGATTTAAAAATTCTTTTTTAAAAACGTATATGAAGATCTTGCAAGGTGTTTTAAAAAGAACGAACCTTTTGTTACTACAGCTATAAACAAGTATATGTAGGACATCCTATGGATGCTAGCTTTGGAACAGGCTGCAGGGAGCTGCAGAAACTGCAGGCCCATGGCCTCTCAGTCCTGCCTGAGAAGCTAGCCTGAGAAATTCAAAGAGACTGCCAGGTGCTGTTTATCTGTCTTCTTGTTTTCCCTTGCAGGAGAGGGTCAGGGGGGTAGAGTGCCCCTGACCAATGATGGTAATGTAGCACTTTGCTAACCAATAAGAGTTTCCTTTCTGTACTTTCCACGTATCTGTCTATAAGACAGGCCTGAAGCAATAAACCAGGGAATTCTCGTGTTGAAACTCCCTTGAGAGCTCGTGTCGTTCTTTATAGCCGTTCCCAATCGGACCGACAACATCCCACTGGATTCTGGAGAATGTCTCCCACATGAGTAACAGTAAGGTATGATTTTAAATATAAAAGCTGCATCAATTTTCACATTCACCACTGCTTTTCACTGGGCTGTTCTCCCTCCAAAACATGGAGAACAGGCTCACCAGCAGCAAAGTTAGCAGCGAAGAATCTGCATAAAACAAGTTCACAGGTTCAGTCTAACGTTTAAGCAGGGAACTCTGAGGATATTCAGGCCATGAAGTCAAAGAATAGATATTTTTTCCTGTAAGCTAAGGAGATAGTTGAGTATGTAAACCAACCCCCACTGTTCTTTCTCAGGCTCAGTCAAGGTTGAAACACATTGCTTTTCTCTATGTAAAAATCTTGAGTTGTTTCTGTCCAGTTTATCTACTGTCTGTATGAACAGTGAGTTCATCCTTCCACCCCTTCCACATCCTAAAGCAGAAAATTCAAACCTTTAAAGACAGATGCAACACTGGTGAATATGTTCTATTTGAAAGCAGATTACAGTGCCCACGGCATCATAGACTGGACTTTTATTAGCTACTAGAAGGATGATTACATAAGTAATGCAGATGCATCAGTTTCTTGCATGGCCTCTAAGATATTATCAGTTTAAGGGTTAAACACTGCAGACTTAAGAAGATCTTTTGGGGCAGGAAGCAAGGAAGACACATCAGAAGCCAGCAAACACTACAGAATGTTACTTAAATAATTTAACTTTTCACAGTGAGTAGTGAAACAAAAATTCTGATATATTGGGGGGACACACATTGACAACACATGTGGAGGGATACAAGACCTTAAGAAAATAGAGATGAGTTAGCTTCACATAATCCCACACCCAGTGTCACTTCTAATCTAAGACTATCCATGCAAATGGTTAGGTAAACATGATACACTACACGGAACTAACAGCTCTGGAAAGCAAAACCCAACTGTGAGGAAAGCAGCTTGAACCAAGTTCCACGGCATTAAATTAAAAACACAATGCCCACTACTCTCAAAAATAGACAAAGGCATTTCTCTTGTTTACATATTCTCCTCTCCCATCAAGTAACATTAATTTTATGTACCTCTGAGAAAAAACATATCATGTGGTTTCTGCTAAGTCCATTCAGTTTTAACACTTCCTCCACTATTGTTTGGTAATTAGGTCAACAGGTTATTTACACTTTTTGTCTTCTTGAGATACCAAGTGTCAACTTACTTTCAAGTTTATAACCTAAAGAGAGAAAACATACCAACCTTCTTAGGTTTATATTTCTCCACTAAATCTTTAACGAACTGGTGGCGTTGCTTGTACAAAGGAGGTTCAAATTTAATAATTTGTGTAAACTCTTCTTGAAAGGTCTTATCCATAGTATTCTGGCAAGGCTAAAACAAGAAGTTAACTCTTATTTTCTGAAGCATTTCATAACCTATCCAATTACAAAGTTTCCTGTTTTCAGTGGTTTTTGAGTCCCAATTGAGCAGGGATAGACCTGATCTGAGTCCTATTCAAATAATGACAAAAATATTTGGATTAGCACGATTAGGCTGTTCTCTCCACATGTCATTATCTAAAGAACCTTTTGTAAACAACTATAAATCGTATACAAATCTAAAAAAGTAAATTTCATAATCTGTCGCTATCCATCCAGCACACCTGGACAGAGACTACAACCAAACATTACAACCAAACGCATTGGGCCAAGCCTGCACACAACTTGATTGCTCTACGAGGTCTTTCACACACAAATAAAAATATTTGTGTATATATACGCACAAAATCCGGCTCGGTGTTCAGGCCAGTTCCCCGCCGTCTCAGGAGTTAAGCGGGCCTGCTGGGCTTCCCCTCAGCAGTGCCCGCGTGAGGGGCCACCCGCGGCACCCACCGCCTGAGCCCCGCCGGCTCCCGAGCCGCCCCAAGCCTGAACCCCGCCGGCTCCCGAG